TTTGATCAGCCACAGCCCACATAATGGCCTGGCCAGGTGGAATTCTCATGAGCCTAGGCAACAGACCTTTCCATAATGCACGAAGCCCTTCCTCTGCATATATTGTTCTGATGGCATGGATCATGCCCTTATACTTCAACTCACCTCCCGCTCGGCTCTGAGCCATTAGCCTTGTTTTCACTACATCGAAAGGGCCAGTGCAGATAGGGCCTGCTGTACCTGCAAGAAATCCAGAGATCATGGATTGCCATGGTTGAAGGACTTTCCCGTCTCCTTCATGTTTCTTCCATAAAAGGATATCAAAAGCATTTTTGGCTGTAAACATGGCAGCTTGATTTGTCCCATTGCGCATTACAGTTGGAGCAGCCCCAGCCCAAAGCCAAAAAGGCCTTCTTCCTTTATAATCATTCGGGCACAGTGTACAGGTCCCTTGTACTTCAAAAGATCAGGACTTAGGCCTCTCTGTTGCTGCAATCTGATTTTCACCACCTGCAACAAGATCGTGCTAAATTACCAACGTTAACCACTACATCATTTTCCACAGACAGTCAATGCATAGATGTTGATAATGTTAGTGGCCAAGATAGATTAAATCCGCTAATTTGCATATCATTAACAATTATAAAACAAAACACAGAAATATCTTGGATCACTAGTGCTGCAGACAACCAGAAAACAAGCAGCATGTCATCATCATTGTTAATCCCAACAAGCAAACTTCTGGGCCCAACCATCTAGCTTGACATGACCTATAAAAGCTTTAATTTTTACTTCATCTAATTAAAAATGCAAGACACAACTTCAAGGGAGCAATGAAAATGCGAATGAGAAAAATGAATACATGCTTGTCAGGTACAACAGGTGCAACAACAAGAAGAGGGATGAAAGTGAGGATCAGTAGTCCAGTACCCTTTTTCTTTTCTTATTGATCATTCCCCACTTCCCCAACCCGTAAACTTCAGATCAGAATGGGAGCAAAAAGAATAATAGTCCAGCGGAAGAGAATCCTGAAGATTTAAAACGCTTGCGGCAACTCAAGACGGACTAGCAGATCCGCATTTAGTCATGCTGGTTAGCTGGTCTTTGCAGAGTGATAGAGACATCACTAAACCCAATACTAGACAACATATGCAAGCTTATTGTGTAAAAGATAACCAGTTGCCAAGAACGAGACCATCCAAGATCAGCAGAATTGTTTTAAGTGAGAAAAGCAACAAGAAGGATGTGGAATTCTACCTTGCAAGATTCCCATTTGAATTTGCAAAAGAGAAAAGAAGAGCAAGTCTACGAATAAAAAATCCGTGTCAATCTAACGTATTTCACATTCACAGCAAACCGAAGTTTCCTCAAAATGTCAAAAATCCAGAAACAAGCCAATAAGCTCCAACATGAAAATTCAAGCTAAAGTCTAATCTCAAGCAGCAACAGCAAAAATTAATTACATAAAGTTACGATTCGAGCAGCAATTAAATTCAATCAATGTGTAACCAAATTAAATCGAAAATGTATGACCTAATTGTCAGTGACAAATAGAAGCATAAAAGCACGAACCTCAAATGGAGTAACAATCACAAGAGCCTCAAGGACCCCAGCACCAAAACCAGAAAGAAGCCGCCCCTGACTGCTAATTTTCCCAGTCTTAGAGTCCTTAAATGCTGTTTGAAATAATGCATTTGAACCCATTCGCAGTGCATACTTCAAGGTCAAATGTGTAGCAAAGGGTGTCAATCCCTTCCATAAAGCTCGCACCCCTTCTGTTCGAGCAACTGTGGTACCACAGTGTACTATTCCCCTGTAGTTTCCAGACCTATCAAGTTGCAATCTGGTCTTAATGACATCAATGGGTTGCAAGCAACAGGCCTCCATAACACCTCCTAGCGAGCCAGAAACTGCTTTCATATAAGGTGGGATTGCTTTCTTCGAACACGATTTGGGATTGTCTTGTACAGCATCTTTTTGATTCATGACTGATAGAGGTTCGCTTTATTACGCTAGAAGCCTAATGATATCAAATAAAATATCGATAAATCCCATACATGTGACCTAATATCTATGAAGCACCAGATACGGCAAAAATGGAGAAATCAAAATCGAAAGAAAATAAAACTCGAACACACAATCGCTTTTCTTTTTGTGATATGCATGCGTAACAGCTATTTTGGCATTCGTCCCACCAAAACAATAATTGACATCTGCAAGCTGATGCATGTAAAACTCTACACACAATCTTGGGGTTGTTCCTCCACCTCCACAGAGAATATTGATAGCCCAAGAAAATCTAAAGAAGTTGAATTGTGTGAACAGTATTAACAGAACAAAAATAATCTATGAAAACAGTAAGGCGCAGAACAAGAAAAACGTACTGTGGGATCTCAGCTGCACTGTTGTCGACGCCGAAAAGTGAGATTTAACTCCGTCCCCCGTGAAATCTGAAACCCCACAGTGAACGGAACTTGCTTAGCAAACGTTAAAACCCAGAGAATCTTTCTTTGAGAATTAAAAAGGTAATTTTCGTCAGAACCCCAGATACTGTAGTAAACTGATTAGCGTTAAACATCATCAAGAGGAGTGAGTATATAAATCGACAAAAAGGAGCAATTAAACACACAGAAAAAGCAATACCAAATGAGGGTCCTTACAACCACACGAAGTGGCTTCCGGGGAACGGAGCAGACGAGAGGCGAATGTTCACACAAATTTGAGGAGACGGACATGTGTTTTACAGCGCGATTATGAACCAACAAGGCCGCCATGTACGGAAAGTCGTGGCGCATCTGATTATTAGTTTACTAACCAAGTAACCATAGCCATAGATTTTATTGCATACAGTGCATACTTTTTATCGTAATAATTAATTAATGGCAGAACCATTTTTTCTTTTTTAATTCGGGAACAATTCCATTGCCCTTGCAAAAACATGGATCTCATCTCAATTTCGGATTTATATAAGGTGATTATCAATTTTGATAAGCACTCAATGCTTATTAGATCTGGACTGTCTGATCTGATTTGGACAGTTTATATTTATATTTATATTTATTTTTTAAAAATAATTATTTTAATAAGTATAGAATAAAAAATAAAAATAATCTCTTAACTATCATTCTTTAAAAATATAATTTTTTTTATTTTAAAATAATTATTTAATAATATTAAATCTGGATCATTCAAATCTAGATTGCTTGTCAGGTGATGAGCACTGAATGTGCACCTCTCAATTTCACCTGCACTACATGGCATAAAAATATTATTTTAACAGTAGATACTAGATAATTTTCTACTTTCTCCTCATCCCTCCGAACCTTAATATCCTAGTATCCCATCCCATCAGACCACTCACAGAGAGACACGTCAAGAAGTATTTAAAGTTGCATCTGAACCATAGGTCTCGTCATAATCCTGGCCGCCGGTATTTGAGGCCTTTAAAACAATGAACCTTCAACGTTCTGCTAGCTGAGTTTGGCGGGAAAGCTTCCCCCAAGGCAATCAGGTTCATCTACATATCATCTAAAGAGGAAGAGAATCCTGAAAGTTCAAAATGCTTGCGGCAAGATGGACCAGTAAGCTTAACCAGATCTGGTCATGCTGCCTAACTGATCTTTACAAGACAGTAAGAAATATGAAGCCCAACAGAGACAATTGTTTTATAAACATCAGTTGATGCTTTTCCAAGACATTCCATCGCACATCATTCACCAGCCATTCACCCCTTACCGCCGAACTACCCCAACGCCGACCACCCTCCGCCACCATCCCTCCTTCGATGATTCGATCCACCTTACCCCCAAACCACCAAGCCACCAAGAAATCTCAGACACACACCCAAATGAAACACACACACACAGCCGGCCTATGCCGGAAAGGCGATGCTCAATGCATCGGCTCCCCCATGGAGAGAACCCTCCGACTGAGGGAAGGGCATCCAGCAGAGGCCCTGCATGAGCTTTTCTTAGAATAACATCACACATGTAAGTCGCAATTAAGCCAAGTAAAAGTTCAAGTCAGACAAGCAATTTTGAGAATCGATGAAATTTAATACGACAGAGAAGCACCAACAATGGGGAAATAGTTCAATTGAGAAAGGCAAAGGCATGAAGGTAATTTAGAGGCCTGACCATGGGTAACGACGGAGCTCGGAGCTCTTTTGGCTCTATTTGGTTGGAGGGTTGTTGAGGAGAAGGGAAAGAAGAGAGGAAAGAGAAAGAGACAAGTGTGTTTGGTTAGAAAAAATAAATAAAAAAGAAGGAAGAAACTTGTTTTCTAAATTTAAGGTTTTTTGGAGAGAAAAGAAATATTATATCTGATATTAATCAAACTACCCATTCCAACTTTTCAACATTCTAAGTTTGTCTATTTTATTAAAAAAATTTTTTCACTTTTTTCTCTTTTTTAACCACTAATAATATTTGACAATAATATATATACTATAACTATATAATATATACATATCATGTATATTAATATATATATATCATAACATGTGTGTATTATAATCTCATATAACATGCATATATATTAATATATACATATCATAACGTTCTTGTTATAATTATATCATATATACATATCATATATATTAATACATATATTTATAAAATTAATGAGATAGAATGTTAAACTTTTGTATCATATTTTTTAATTTTTTTTAGTTTTATCATTTTTTTTATCACATGTAAGTGAGGTAATTGGTTTTTTTTAAATTGATAAATTAAGAAATAATAATTTTGATATAAATATTGTAATAAAAAAATAAATCAGTCTAAATATAGAGATAATGATATATTTATCAATTTATAATTATGTCTTCTCTCCTCTTCTTATCAACCAAACAAAAAATCTTTCCTCCTTTCTTTTCCCTTCGAACTAACACAAACTATGACCTGCCTTCTCTTCCACTCTTTTTCTTTTAATTAACCTCTCCTTCCGTCGTTGAACCGAACCAAGCCTTTGCGTTGCGGAGGGGGTTAGCACTTCGACGGGGAAGTATGTAAATTGAATGGACGATCAGGAGTATATCGAGACGCACAGTTCAGATGCGATCGTAAAAGCCTCATGACGTGTCTCATCGTGCGTGCTTGGATGGATTGGACGGGTAGGATTCAAGGCTTACAGGATGGGATCATTCGATCTCTGTGGCTCCTGCGCTAGGTCGCCCTCTTCGTCGTTCTTCTTCTCCCTTGCTCAGCCAGACTTCTTTGCCGCTTCGTTGGTTGCTTCGCCGCATCTTCTTATTCTTCTGGTGTTTTGCATGAAGTCGTCTAGGAAGCAAGGGCAAGACATTAAACCCAGCTCTCACGGACGACGGTCACGAAGATATTGCCAAGTGGAAGGATGAAATAGGTATTCTAATTTTGTCATCTTTCGATGAATCTCCCTTCACAAAGAGGGAAATGCTCATCACTGTAATACTTGTTTGCGATTCTTCATTTTGATTATATATATATATATATATAATGACCCCCATGTTCCTTAAATAGCATGTCTGATAATCTAATGTAAACTAATGTCGTTTATGATTGTCGATATTTTGCTCTTCAGGGTTAATGTCGTTCAATTTTGACTTTGAACGATCTCACAAGTCTCTTTTTGTGTGGCTGGTAGATGCATTGATATTACTGGAAAGTGGTTATATGTTCATTTGACATGTTATACACAGATTCATGTCATCAAGGAACTAACTGGTTTTATTAGAAGGAGAGGCAATAGCTCAAGGCTTTGCATTGCAGACTATTTGATCAAAATTCACCTTTGCTTTATCAACGACTTCCCGCTCCCTCTTTTTTCAATCTCACTCAGCCTACCTGGTTTTTAGCTCCTGTTTCTGATAATAACCATAATTTCAAAGGGATATGGGAAACTTTGGTTTTTTAAGGGTAGCATGAGATGGAATGGTTACTAATACTAGGGGACCTGGTCGATAATTTGTACTGGGTAAGTAACACGTCACTAAAACGGATGGCCTAATCAGCATTTCTGTAATCTCACATTAAGGGTAAGGGAGTAGTTTCCAGCCCACTCTTTACCCCTTGCCCCCGTCACTCGTTCGCCTCCCAATTCACTCAAATTAATAATAAGATATGATCAATCTAATTACCCAAGGGGGGGAGGGGACAAGTTTACTTTTATAAAGAATTTAGAGAGATCAAAAATACAAGCCTTCATTTTTTCCATCTCCCATTCTCCCTTGAAAAAGCATCAACTGATGTCTTATAGGATTTCCCGTTTCTTTGCATTATATTGACTTTGTTGGCTTCATAATTTTATTATTGTTACCTAACAATTCAACATCTGACGTGTATTCTGTTGACCCCATGCTTCATATTTCTTACTATCTTGGCTTTTTATCAAGCCAGCAAGAAATGGCCCAACAAAGTGTAGATTCTAAAACTGAGCCTGGTCCAGGCAGCTCTAAAACAGGTTTGCCAGGTGATAAGCTATTGACTGCTACAGTGAAGAAGACAGCATTGAGAGAGCTGCCGAATGATAATAGGGTCACAGTTTCAGCCTCTATTGGAGGCTCCTCAATTTTAAAGGAGAAGGGCCGCTGTACTGATTCTAATAGAGTTTCAGGCACCAAGAGACCCTCTTCTGAGTTCCCAATGAATCACAATCACCCCCAATCTCCAGGCAATAATGCTGGAAATGGACATCTTGTTTATGTACGTAGAAAAGCTGAAGCAGACTTGGGCAAGAGCACTGCTTGTGGGAACCCGAGTAGTAGTGCCTATAGTCCAATTTCAGGTTCCAGGCAACCTGGTGAAGATGAGACTGCTCAACCAAAATCTCAGATAAAGGAGCCAAAGGTCTCTTGTTTTCCTGCTTTTGCACCTTTTCCAATGACTTCTTCTGTGAGCTCATCTGGTAAACCTTCAGTTCCTTTCTCAATTGGAAACTCTGCTATGCGGTTAGCACCAGTAGAGTCCAGTTTTGCAACTGCTGGTCCTGCTATTGGCAATACAACAAGACCAAAAAATGCACACTGGGAGGATCAATACCACCAATTGCAGATGTTTTTGAGGAAATTGGACCAATCTGACCAAGAAGAATATATCCAAAGTATGCTTATTACCTAGAGAGTACGCCTTAAAGTGCTTTTCATTCTTAAATTCTATGCACCTGATATTTTCCTTTGTCTGATAGTGCTTCAGTCACTCTCCTCGATTGAGCTCAGTAGACATGCTGTTGAGTTGGAAAAGAGATCTATTCAGCTTTCCCTGGAGGAAGGTAATGAAACTTGATGCTTTATTTGTTTCTTCCATATTCATTATCGGCTGGATAGTTATTTTGTTTGCTAAATTGGGCGAGGCAATTGGCATGGAGTGGTGCATTAAGTGTTAGCTCAAAATCCTCTGGCCTTGGAATACATTTGATGTCATTCAATCACTGCCATGCCTATAAACTCATCGTTTGATGTCTCTTTCAAATTTTAAATGGCCAAGAGTTTATTTTTAAATTATGACATTAAATTAAATGGGTTAACTACCACGTTCCTCCAGCATCTGCTGACAATGATTAATATCGAAGGCTACCCGTGTTGGTAGACGCATGACGAAAGTTAATAGCTTTTGTTCTGTATTTTTATTTTCAGAATGCCAGAATGTTGTTCACTTGCGCATCACATAACTACTAATGTGGTGTTCCTAAAAATATGACAGATGTTTAGTGCTATTCCTTATATGTATAGGAATTCTAAGGTGTTTAATCTTTGGCAGATTGACCTTTTTGTTCATTGTGGCCCTTGAAAATGAATAACCTACCTGAAATTGTTTATTGTGGTCATTATAGACTTCATACATTGATTTGGACAAAGTTGCACCTACTAGTATTTCCAAACTTTTGCGTGCATGCTTTCTTATCAAAGAGAGTAAACGAAGATAGATAGAGAGAGAGAGAGAGAGTCAGCTCCCAATTTACATTTTATATCAGCACAGTATGTGTTTTGAGATACTGAAGAGCTGAAAATTAGCTTGCCTTCGATGTTATCCAACTAAAAAGCAACCAGCTGCTACTTTCTGCCTCCGATCCCATATAGTATTCACCTTCTAGAACAAATTGATGGTTCCATATATTGGTCACTTTGCATGAGAAAGTGGAGCAATGGTTAGTTATTTCTCCAAAAATGACCATTGCTTACAACTACCTAGGACTTTTTTTTTTTTTTTTTTTTTATAATTCATGGTTTTAAATGGGGATAAATTTAGAAAGTTATTTCACTTTTAAACCATTTTAATACTCCTTAGTTTTGACGAGGTAGTTAGAAGTGCCCTATAATTAGGACAATAAGGAGTACCTTTTAATGGTAGTAAACATCACATATATTATTAAAATGGGTGCTAATAAATTTTCTGGCGTTTTCAACTTTGATGACAGCTAAAGAATTGCAGCGGGTTGCTGTTTTAAATATCTTGGGAAAATCATTGAAAAACCTCAAAGCACCAGCAGATAATCACAACAGTTCAGAGAAGAAGGCATCAACATAAGGAATGCTTGATTACATATTTCATTATCTTTGTATTTTTTCCTTATGATCTTTCTGCTCTCTTGCTTCTAGTGAGTGCTGGGTAAAGTTGGTGATTGTTGTTCTGTTGTTTATCTGGTGTTAACATGCTGGGTTTTTCATAGTGATTATGAAGGGCCCTTGGCTGTCAAAAGCGGAAAAAGGGGGATTTGGCTGCTACTATTGTGTATTTATTTATAGGATTGGCTACCCTGCATTGTTGTTCATTAAAATGTCAATTCTGTGCAAATTTCATTTGTAAGTCATGTTTCAATAGATGTGCATTATGTGACCAATGAATGTGAATGAAGAATTGGAAAATGTTGGGATGCCAAATTTTATTTTAATTTTTTTAAAAAATCAAAATATACATATCAAAGTTCAAACTTCAGGCACCTCCTTGCTGCGATGGCCAACAATAAGGACACCTGGCTCCTCTATATACAATATAGCCGCTGCATAAACATAATGGTGCAGCTTTTTTAAATGAAGGGGTAACATTATTATTGGCAAAGTTAAATGAAAAATGAAAAACTGTAAAATTGTATTTATAAACCATGCAATTTATTACGTGGGCTTTTATGCAACACGCGAACCCTACCATCCTGTTTTTCTCTAACCACTCTTATCTAAGGAGCAAGCTGGCGTCCCTCTTCATTTGATGACATCAATTATTCATATTTGCTTTCCTAATCATTACTTAAAATTCTATTCTAGCCATTATTTTTTCTTGAATTATATTTTTCCTACGCAATTTAGCTTAATAATTGCATCATCTATGCATTATAGCCATCAACATCACGACTTATTCCCAGGTCCCAACACTCTATGATGCCAATATCTAGTAATCTTTCCCAATACAAAAGGAGAATTGAGATTTTTTTTTTTTTTTTTATATCTATGAAACATGACATCAACCTATTATCAAATTAAGGGTCACTGAAAAGAAAAGAATTTTTTCCTAGTATATTATTATTTTCTTATTTGAAGCAATCTCATTCAGAGTGCTATTTTTTTTTTAATACACGAAAAATTTAGATGAGTTGGATTTCTGAAACTTGCTAGAATCAAGGTATGTCTCCAAGCTTAAAAAATAGGGTTAAGGTGCACCCAGCACCTCCAGATATTTTTCCAGACACACCCAGTGGCCTAAAATAATTTATGGTGCAATTTCGCCCTCAAAGTAATTAAAATGGTGTACTGGTATCCCATGCTAACAGATTTGTTACTTTGACTTGGAAATTGATGAGTCAGCACAAGTTTGACCAAAATAATCTAACCTGGCATGTCTAATAAACAGGTGACGTGGCTTTTCTTGTTAATTCCTTTGTTTTGTTTAAATATTATCTCTGAAATATTGCGTCTGGGGTGAAAGGACTCGCAGAGGAAAATGAAAGTAGGCTTTTCTTCTCCATGTTTCGTCTTTAGCAAATCGTAATCCCTGTGGTGTGAAATTTTCTTCCCCGACCAAATCGATTGAAGTTTGTACTTGTTTTTCCCTCTATGTTAGTGGCCGCACTCGTTGAAATCTGAGAAACATTGCTCATCTATTTGTGCCCCACTTCTGCATTTGAATATCTGATGGGTGAATCAAACTCAGATTCGACGGCAACAAGCAAAAGAAGGATTAATTTGGTCAGACAAGTTGGAATAGAGATCGAGTATGAAGGTTCTGTTTTTGTGGTACAATGGCTCCTCGATGGACAGCATGGAGTGAGAAGAACCCTGGCAGAAGGTTTTACAGGTGCCGAAAATACAACCAAGTAAGTTAAATTGATAGTAAGTTGATCTATAAATTGGTTGATGTTTGTACATTTGGTAGTAGAGGGGTTTGCGATTGCCGAATATATTTATGTTGAATCTTGACATGCTTGTACGTTTGTTAAAAAATTATAATTATTATTTACTTGGAACTTATCAAATTCATTAGCTTCAAAAGCAAACATGAAAGACTTAAGGAATTGCTGGTTTGGTTTAGACTGACAAAATATATTTCATTTTTGCAAAATATATTGATGGTGGATGGTTGAACTTGACAGGGAGGAGGCTGCGGCTATTTTAGTTGGCATGATAATGAAATGGGTCAGAGATCTGTTGAATCGATTACTGAGCTATTGAATCATATAGATTCATTATATGATGAGAATTTAAGGCTGAAAAAAAGAGTTGAGGGTGAACGGTTAGGAGCAGAGGTGGGTCTTACATATCAAGAACTAACAAAGATGGCAAGAAGGCAAGCTAATTTTGAAATTGCAGCTAGAAATGGGAAGAAGAAGATGAAAGTACTCCAATTTGCTTTGTGGCTGTCATGGCTTTGTTTTATTTGTTTTTTAGTTTTTGAGAAAGTGTTGATGTAGATGTCGATTTGTGATATAAGACCAAAAAGACTGAACCTTGTTTATGTGTTGAAGTTTAATATAGTTCTTGAATATATTCTTGAATATATTATAGAGAGCCGGTTAGACAAACATCGAGAAGGGTTGTTTGTTATTGGGTCTTTTCACTTCCTCCTCACTTCCACATTCTTCACTTGTGACTCTTCCTCTTCACATTAGATTTCCTCACTTCCAAATTCCTCACTTCTTGACTCTCCCACCTCATCTTCACAATCTTCATTTAGTGACTTTTCCTGCTCACCTTCTTCTCCATTCTCACTAAAGGTGGAAAATTGGTCATCTGCTGCACCAAAAAAAAAAAGAAAGTAACAAACAGTGCAGATTAGAATTTTTTACTTTTACAAAATCAAAATTGTATATAACAGCAACTCTCTATTCGTATATGAAACAATAACAAAAAACTAAAGCTTAACATGCAAAATGCAAAACAGAGATCACAAAGACGCATAACCTTTGAAACTGGTTTAGCTTCAAGGTACGCATAAGCTTTGAAAGTGGTTCAACTTCAAGTTAGATTTGTTTACTGACATCATCTTAATCAAAATTGACTAAAAAGTGAAGCTTACCCGATTGACGAAACTGCTTTTTGGCCCCCACTTCCGCATCATCTTCGTCGAACTCTGACTCCACCGACTCAACCTCTAAGTCCTCCGGCCCCACCGCCACATCATCTCCGTCAACCTCCAACTCATCTAACTCCCTTGCCACATCGGCATCGTCCCCCTTCATGTCATCCAGGTCCACTATCACATCATCCTGCCTCCAGTCCACATCATCCCCAAGATTCGCATCTTCTCCCATATTTCACTTTAAAAAAAGCCCCCCTCTCACTCCAGCCAAATGCAAGTACAATAGAGAATGTAGGAATCGATCCCCCTCGATCTATCTTTTTCAATATCACTACAACTTTCACAATCTTTTTCAGTATCACACAGTTAACTTAATCGGCCAAGAAAGAAGAAACCCTAACGAAGGTTTTCTTATGCCACTGCTTTCTTTTCTCTGTTCGGTAAATGCTCTCTTCGGCTCTTGGAATTTTTTTCTAAACAAACTTAAAATATTTCAGAGATAATATTCAGACAAAACAAAGGAATTAACAAGAAAAGCCACGTCACTTGCTTATTAGACATGCCAGGTAAAATTATTTTAGTCAAACTTGTGCTGACTCATCAATTTCACAGTCAAAGTAACAGATCTGTTAGCATGGGATACCCATGCACCATTTTAATTACTTTGAGGGCGAAATTGCACCATAAATTATTTTAGGCCACTGGGTGTCCCTGGAAAAATACTTAGAGGTGCTGGGTGTACCTTAACCCTAAAAAATATTTATAATGCCACTTAATACGAGTTTGTAGGAAGGGCCAAAAAACAAAATGTTACACCGCATGACCCATGAGCCCATAAGTTCCCTCTTTCAAAACCAAGTAACGTCGCCTTTAAAACTGCCGCGATGCTAGTGGCAGATATTCAGCGGAACAGAGATAGTGGGGCGGGTTCCTTTCTCCTCGATTGTGGCTTTTCCATTCTCTTTGGTTATATGTTGTTATTTACTTAATCGTATGGAAATGCTGATATATGAGTGTTCAAATATCGAAAGAATCGCAGAATAGCGCCTCTAAAAGGATTGATATTCAACCTATGGGAATTTTAATATCCTTAGAGGCTTGGACTACTCCTCCTTGTGTTGTTCTCGTTTCTTTTGGAGTAAATATATTTGATTTGCTCGACAATGACTTTAAACATGCCGTAAGGCTTTAAAGGCTATAACCAACCTAACTAATAAGAGATTGTTTATACAAGTTAAAAGGAAGAATTTAAGCAAGCTTGGGTGACCCCCCCCCCTTTTTTTTTTTTGGTACTTAACAGGAAAATTCTCAAGTTATGACAGATATTTATATGTTGATTTTAATGGAGATGCAGTTCGTTAATATGCAGATAAACTTGTCTAACTCTTAATATTAATTGAACTTGAAATGAGATTAAGCGTGCCCAGCTCAATGTGACATTTGAAACATGATTTCCATCCCTTGCTGTAAGGTCTGAATTTCTCCATTTTCTAGTCCAAGGCCAGCGCCAGGGCAAAACTTAAGAAGAAGATGCTGGCTGGCTGACCATTCAATACCCTTGCGCTGGTCTGGAATTAAATAATGTAAAATATTGCAATCTGTTTCACTTGTGTTTGCACTGTCTCTGGTCTTTTTAAAGTGATATAAAAGCTTTTCTTTGCATTTGTCAATGCTTTTATTGGGTTTTTTAATCCGGTCATGATTGCTGAATAGTGTTCAGTCTACATAAGTTCTGTGAGATTTTATAACTGTTTCAAGAACTGAATACTGGTTGTAAGCAGAGATTCGATCACAAAACAATGTGCTTAAGTTTCTATTACATCATCACAGATCATTTAACCGGCTTTGATCCCGCAGAATCCATCCACATGGAGTTATAAGTTCCTTCATCTTTGGAGCATATGAAGTTGAATGGTACTAATAATTTCAGATGGTGTGATCATGTGGAATGCTATTTGATTGCTATTGGCTTGGATCATCATCTCACTGAGGAAGCCCCAACAGGTGATGCAAGAAAAATCAAGGTTTGGAAAATGGAAGAATTCCTGATAATTAACTGGATGAAGAAGGCCATGGAACCAAACATTGCATTGACCACGTGTGGCTTTACTAGCCAAAACTCATGCAAAGAAATTTGGGACAATGTCCAGTCTATGTATTCTAAGGACAGTACCAAACTCTACGAGTTATGGGTCAAGCTTATAAGGCTAGAACAAGGTAGCATGTCAGTTGCAGAATATACTGACATTTTCCTGGAATTGTATCATGAGTTGAAAAGGGCATTACCAATTAATGATGAACCAGAGCACATGAAGAAAGTGAATGAAATGTTGCG